AATCAAACTTACTGAAGGAAGGGACGGACTCCTCCCAGGGGAAGCCTCAGCTGATCTCCAACATCAATGCCTGCGCTGCCGTTGTCGATGCCATCCGGACCACCCTTGGTCCACGTGGCATGGACAAACTTATTGTCGATAATAGAGTAAGATGAGATGCTCTTGATTAATGTTTGTTTTGTGTGGGGGTTTAGGGGGGGGGGGAATGGAATTAATCTTAGTGAATAAAGATGAAAAGTAAAATAAGTAGTGATATCCTCATTACTGGATTTTTAGCAAAGTATATTGTTATGAATGAAATCTCGACTGACTTGAACATGTTTCCTTAGGGCAAAGCCTGCATCAGCAATGATGGTGCAACAATCATGAAGCAGCTGGACATTGTACATCCAGCTGCCAAGACCCTGGTCGATATTGCAAAGTCACAGGATGCTGAGGTAAGATTGTTGTGGTTTTGTGAAGAAAATCATTGGTGTAATTTACTTTCATTTTTTACATGGTGACAAGATTATTATTTGCTCTCATGATGTATGAATTCTTGTGGTTTCATTTCAGTTGCATAGTATTAGAATTGAATTTCATACTAGTGTCACATTTCATTTGTTTTGTAAGTTTGTTTTTTGCTTGACACTCATTTCATTGTTAGCACCTCATAAGCACTAGTATTTTGAGTATAGTTTAACCTTTAGCACTTTAGAAGGTAGTGGAATGATTGTTGAGTTAGAATGCACAAAGTATTCATTGATGATAGGTGTATGTAGAAATTATAATTGATGTCTAGTGCCATTGAAGAAAGAAAATGATAATGTATAGTAACTATATCTTTTAATGATAGATCTGGTAAATATTTATCTGACTGCAAATAAAATAAAAAAATAATTTAATAATGATAAGTAATGTATACAGGTTGGAGATGGCACCACAACTGTTGTGCTTTTGACTGGTGAGCTCCTGCAACAGTGCAAGAACCTCATTGAGGAAGGGGTCCACCCACATGCCGTTGTCAGGGCTTTCAGAAAAGCTACAGGACTGGCTGTAGGCAAGATTAATGAGTGTGCTGTGAAGGTAAATATATGGATAATGGTGGAGGAATGTATACCTTGCTTTTAGTTTATTATAAGTTTGCCAAAATGGATTATTCTACAGGGCCCTTGAAATGGGGGTACTAGAATTCCTTTAGCTTACTTGAATTCATAATTCACCAACATTAGCCAATATTATAACTGGATATCCAGTGAACAAAAACAATATATTTTGTCCCTCAGATTAATAAGCAAGACCCTGCTGAGCTCCGATCCATCCTTGAGAAGTGTGCTGGAACTTCCCTCAACAGCAAGCTCATTCACCAACAGAAGGATTTCTTTGCCAAAATGGTTGTGGATGCTGTTATGTCCCTAGATGATCTCATGCCCCTGGACATGATTGGTATCAAGAAGGTGACTGGTGGTGCCCTTGAGGTGAGTTTGACTGATTCATGATCTATCCTTTTTAGTTTGTTGCAGTGAACTTTGTCACAAAAGAAAGAAATTGGGGAAAAGCATAAGTTGTGAGGAGGAGGATGGTTGTTTCTATGATGTTGAAATACAACTGGGAATAGCAGATTCAAATACACAAGGGCTTTTCACATTTTATGTAAAAGATCCTATTTACATGCACATGAGTCCCACAGGAGAGAAATGTGGGAAATCACATAAAATTTAAGAGCACATGCAATACCCATTAAAAGCAGTTGTCCTTCTGTTGCAGTGGCAAGTATACAACCTTGATATTTTATGATTACATTGAGCATACATCTTTTGAAGAGCAGCAAAGCCTTGAATCCATATATAACAATTTGTATATGTGTATGTATGCACTTTACTGATCCATTAGCTTTACATTTATTTCAAGAGACCTCTTGTGTGGTAATATTTTTTATGCTGTCGTCAGATGTAATAAAGATGTTTAGTACTAACTTGGCATTGTAAATGAATCAATATGAAAGGAAATATTAGAATTTGAAAGAAATAAAAACAAGATTTCTCAAGCATCAATTCTTCGTATTCTTATTCTTACTTTTTACTAATGCATATTGATATCAAGGGTTTCCAACCCGGAGGCCATGATGCAATTTGAATGTTATGAGTTCAAAGTAAACTGGATTTTGTTTTGCCTTGGCTTGGCCATCTAATCCTGTCCCGAATCTGAATAAATCAAATGATTAATTCAGTGTTATTGTCTTGTAGCATTTGGCACCAGTAAACTAATCTGAAGGTCAGACATAAGTGAGAACCATGGAGATTTTTATATATTGGTTGAGGGCCACAAAAAAAAAAAAAATGTTGGAAACCACCAGTAGAGAAAGAATTATGGCAGGGTAGGAATGGCTATTGTAATGGTGATTAACCTCTAGGGAACAAAGTACCTTAATAGTTGTGGAAAACTATTCATCCTCATGTTGGTGTAAACCTAAAGGATGGATTTATTTTATTTTGAGATGATATTCAAAATGTATTTCAAA